GGACGGCCGTTTCGTCCGATTATGGGACTCCTCGGCAGTGCGCATCCATGATCCCGCTCGCGGGGTTCGAACCCAGGGCATTCAGTCTCGCGCACGAACGCTTAACCTACTAGACCACTGAGCCGGCATCCAATGGTGATAGTGTCTAACATCAACCAATCCACGAAATTGTGCGACTATCTTCCATTGTACTGAGGTAGACACCTGTTTCTACCCGACACGGAATAGCTCCACTGGTCACGGCTTCCCACCAGAACTCCGAGAATTTTCTCACGAAGCTAGTCACTAGTGAGCACATAGTAATAATCGGTTTAGGGGTTGTCGAGATTGTTAAGTTTTTTTTGTAAATTATTATATAGTCTCAATGTTTTATCTTCTGACTATAAATCTAAACATCCCTAAATGACTTCGTATATTATTTTCTGTGTACAATTAAATTAATTTCCACTCAACCGATTAAAGAAATAAACACGAATTACATTGTTATTGATTTGTTTAGCTAACGTTTAGCAGTCGACCAGTTAAGGGAATGTAATACTAAGTGGTAGAATGAACATATGAGTCACTAGTTATACACTGACTACATTCATAACCAATAAAAAGAATAATTAATGGACAAGAATACATCACACAATCGTTAGAATATACATAGCGCGTATTAAATGTCTGGCTATAGTGGAGCAATTCATGAAAGTACAATGAAATATTTATTTGACATACTTTTTGTCTGTCCTAGAAACATACATTGTATGTGTGTGCATGATTGAATGGGGTTTGCTACAGTCTATACACTGACTCATTCATTAAGCTAATTTTTGTCATGATAAAATTACAATATTCGGTTAACTGTAATTCATTACATTTCGTGCTCTCTAGATCGTTGGTCTATCCTCATCGTATTGAAACACAGACAGATATGTGAACGAAGAATATTCTATCTTGTTTAAATTCATAACATTAGAATTTCGAATTATTTTTAAAATAGAATAAAATTGTTAATCTTAGCATGATTATTTTCGATAGTGTAATAAGAAGACGAAGATTATCAGAGCTACATTATGGGAATTTATCAAAGGGACTCATTGCTTTGAATAAGTTTACATATAAAATGAAATTATGGAATTAATGATCAGGATAAACAATAAACTGAATGAGATGAGAAAGGTTATAATGTATTACAAGTGAAATATTTCGTCAAGAATGACTTAGAGTAATATGAAATAGGTATGAATTAGAAAACAGGGATATGAGCTGAATAATAATAAAAATTATAATCATCTTGGATAAGATAATCTTAAGCTATGAAATATAGGAAGAAAGGTTGTACGTACATTCATCGAATCATGTCATCATATCATCAAAAATAACTGTTAACTGATTGGGCTCGAAGTTGGTCATGATAAAAGAAGCCGTTGAACAAATTCCTTATGGACTCAAATCTTCGGCGTTTCTCCAAATAGATATTGATCCAGGTGTTCGAAAAATTCCTAGTATAACGGATTTAAGCAGAGATCTATTTGCACGACATTATTCCGTAAATGATTGTTCCATGTTATCTATGTGACTCGTCTGTACCAGATGAGCTAGGTGCATGCGAGCACCAAAATACATATTGCTCGAACCTCTGCCAATATAATTTCCTCAACAATAGCAGTTGAATCGATAGATACAGAAAGAGATGGCTAGTCTAAGTAAGTTATCTTTCATTGCACATTAGTCATCTCAACATTACCAATTTCATTCTATTTAACAAACAATCGTAAGTTCACATTCGATAATCTTAAACGATGCATTTGCTTTAACCTGGTCAATTTTTGGATTATTAATGCGGATATATAATTGTAGAACCTGATTAGAATTTACTCAATAAAGTATTCCTCCTACATATATCTGTGTTCTCTAAAGTTTCAAAATGCCTACCAGCTTACTGATATAAATAATTTTATGTACAATGCGTCGAGCCATGTAGTTCACCAATCAACTTCAATTAGAAATTGAACTAAATAACTTACCACAAGATGTTTTTGAAGTTTTAGCGGAAGTCATGACTGGTGGAGCCCAGATATATAGTGATTCTATCCTTTCTTCTTTTATTATCTTCTTATATAATTTTGTAAGTAGTTGAGTAATAAATAAGGTGAAATCCACTATTTTCTTTTCTATGCATAACGTCGACAAATTCAATCTTAGCTTATATATACGTACTTTATATTGTCAATCGTAGTACAACAGTTAAATATTTTTAATTATAAAGCCCATGGAGACACTGTGAATGATGTCCTTATTGGTCAGGGCATTTGACTTTCAGTCAATACCCTGTATATTCAAAATTTCTTTCACTTACAATAGTTTGGATAATCGGTCAGTGTCACTAACTCTCACAATTAAAATATGATTAGAAATAAAGTACAAAAATCCATACATGATAAGTGACTTGAGATTACAGGAACGAAAACATTTATTTATTTAAATATTCTATGTTTTGAATAATTCATAAAAACGTTTTTCAATAAGATACTTGATTCAATATATGATCTAGTTTTTTTCTTGAGATTGTGAATCTTCATCAACTGAGATGGTTGGGCTACATGTTGCGTATGCCTGAACACCGATTACCATGACGTGCAATGCTAACCGGTGTTCGGGATGGTTGGAAGAAAGTTAGGGGCGGACAAACCAAATCGTGCCACCAGTGCTTGAAGTCACTAACTTCTAGTTTGAGCCATGTTAGGAGATGCAGACTACTTGGTTGGGGTCCGCGTGACTATCGCAACCAATGGTTGGAGACTCTTGGTGATATGACTCAGAATTGATCACAATGGTGTCGGTGTATATACTCTCTGCCTTCCCTTAAACTAAGAGATTAAAATCGTTTTACATCTTTCTCTCCACCAACTAATTCTTTTTTCCTGTAATATATCCTTATATACAATCTTTATTTTATAAACTACCACCTCTGAATTAACTACATTTATGAATCGGTTGTCCATATTGTTGTGTCATTGAGGTATGGCAACTTGGACTGATGTATATATGTGCCTGGTCCTACGTTGCAGCTGAATGACTGACTCATATAAAAACATTTAACACCGAATTATCATTCATTAATAACTCAATCTTACACACATGGACAATGCGTTTTCAGTCATTTATTTTCATCTCGTGAAGTTCTCACATGTTTTGTATTTAATTGACTAAAATCAACATCTAAATATGATTGAATTAACCAAAGTATAGATTTGATTTGATTTGATTGTTAAAACACTATATCTTTCTTTGATGATTTTGATATTGATGATTCTAACCTGAAGAAGTCCAGACAAGTTAGCTGGATGCAAAACGTTGGAATTGTTATTTTTGAATTTCAATCACCGAGATTATTTCAAATAGAATTTTCACACACATATAATAACTTCTCTCTATACTCGGCGCCCAATTTCTGTCATACTATTCGTTCTCATCTTGACGATTATTTGTATAAATGATCTAGTTTTATTTTTCTTTTGTTTAAAAGTTCAGATCTTATGATTGTTGTACTATTGATAATTCAATAGTATTACATTTCATGAACACTATTTGACTAGTTGATAAGGACGTTTCATTTTTCATTTTGATACTAATTTTTTTGTTAATCAATGTTTTTCTCAACATTTTTAAACATTGAACATTGAATATTATTTAATAATGATAATTATAATAAAGAAAACAAAACAAAACAAAACAAAATTTAATTGAACTTTAACTATGTCCATTAAAGTGTCTAACAAAAAGAAAGAAAAGAAAAGAGAAAAAAAGAGATAATGCAAAATAAAAACTCAATTTGTTTATATTCTGTGTGTTGCATTCTTTTTTGTTGTTGTTGTTGTTGTCGTTATTGTTTACTGAATGTTGAAATTATGTGAGTTGAATGAAAGAAAAGAAAAGAAAGAAAAAACCGATTTTTACTAAATGTTTAATGAAATAAAAAAAAATAGTCTTCAATTTTTGTTTTCTTTCTTATTCTGTTGAAGTGGAATAATTTTCTCTTGGTTTTTTAGAGATTGAATAGTTATATCTAACTAACTATCTATCCACACATCAATCTATGTATCCACACATCTATCTATCTATCTATCTGTCTATCATCTTTTACTCATAAATTGTCTTATAGTTTATATTACATTTCATTGTGTTAAATATTTTATTCTTGATGAATAAGTACTGGATACCTGCTGAGGGTATTCATTCATTCATTCATTCATTCATTCATACAAACATCTTATTTCAATATATAATTGTATATTTGTTGATTTGTCTTAAGAAAAAAAGATACATTATTTACAGTTCAATTGTTTCATTTAACAAGCAATAGTTTGAACTATTATGGACTTTTTTTTGTTGTTGGCATTTTGAGATGGATAAATAATTACTGATTAACTCTTAATAAGAGTTTATTACATTTTTTGGCTATAGAATAATGCGATCATATATATATATATATATAGTAATGGTGTGTTTATTTGATGTTCAAATAATTGGCATAAATCACAATTGATTGATCATTGGGTGGCAATCAGTGTCATGCGTGTCTATTCCTTATTAAGTGCAGATCGAATGCAATCGGGATTGAATCCGCCAGGGAGCACCAGTTCCTTCAAGATTACAGGTACACCTTCTTGATGAGTGCCAAGTAGCACGAAACCCGGGTCCAGGGTTTCCTGTCGACTACCTCCAACCACCATCTCATCTCAATTGGCATAAATCTATCCTTGATCTAAGTTTCATGCTAGTTCATATTCAATAAGAAATAAAATGACACTGATCATTATTTTCAGGTTAAATTATTCATTTACTCGATATTCTATAAAATTTCTTATATTTAGTTAATTTACATTCAAATGATATAGCAGACTGAAATAATTTCTTGTTTAATTTTGTTAATTAAATTTACCTGAACTTTCAGCAAGTTGGTGATTTATTTTTTCATAATTTTTGTTTTTGTTTCATATTTTTTCGTTAAGCTGAATCACTTGTTCGACCTCGAGTTGATCGTACTGCTAGTCCACCATCTGCTACACTTTATTGGTCTGAAGCGCGAAGACTTGCTTCTTTTCCAAATGCTCGTTTACCAGATTCCAATAGTTTACCGGCTATAGACAGATATGATTTTCCTGCTCCACCTTCACCGGCTGTTGTTATGATTGATAAACGTAAGTAAATTGTACCATGTGAATAAAACTGATCAGTCAATTTTATAATGTATGAAATTGTAGTACGTTATCATTGTTATAGTATTTATAATCACTTTACTAGAAACTATTCATTTCATCAACTTTCAGGTCGTGAGAAACGTATGACTGGTGTACAGTCAGTTGGTGTAGATAGTAGAAATGGTACTTTAAGGAATGGAACAATGACATCAGTCGATACAGACTGGACTGATCGGGATCCTGTATTAAATGCTAAACTAGATCGAATTGATGCTGAGATTGAGACATTGAAACGATTAGGTGAAAGTTCCGGTATTACAGCGGTGAGCATGTATTTCTGTTTAAAATATTTATTCGCTTTTTAAAAAAACACTTTTACACCGATGATGAATTACATTGTGCCCAAATGTATTTTCTGTAAAACTTACCAGTGAATGTTGTAACACCAAAAGTGCCACGAAAAATGAATTTGTGAGGCAAATGTTTGATCTCATTACCAAAAAAAAGTTGTCGTTATAAATTTATGAACTTAGACAATAAGCTGTTGATAGTTGTTTGTTGTTTTCGTTTTAAGTATAGTTAGAAGCCTTATGAATGTTGAAGGGAAGTGAGTTCTTCTGATTTCTCCTGATATGACGAATACCTTATTTTTGTTTTTGTTATGTCCCGACAAGAATAATGAATGGTAACTTTTGGGATCTATTGATGGACTAATACTAAACGTATATTTTTATTGTTTAATTGTTAACTTACTAAACTATTCATATTCATGTCCCTCTAATCATAAGCTTTATTTTGATCTATGAACTACTATTATACGATTTACCATTCTTGAATTATTCCCTGTCTATTATTCACTAACTCCCTCATTCACAGCCACATCTGGCTTATTCTTGTACAAATGTTGTTTCATATTTTATTGGTACGTTGTGGTCTGTTTGATTGCTATATAAACTCAGTATGTTTGAAATACAATGATTCATATCGCAGAGGATGACACTGTTGTTCTGGACTTAACTGGCTGGGCTAGGCGGAAAGCAGGACCAATCAGAACTCTAGGCTGCTTGCACGTGTTTTACACGTCCTTGGTTCGATCGATAATTCGCTGCTTCTGATTGACAGCTTTGGGTCATAACAGTTTTCCCTTAAATTTTTGTTAAACAACAATAACGAAGATTGTGCAGTGAAATGAATTCATTTCACTTCGTGTACTCGACATCATCCATATTACTTACTTACTTACGCCTGTTACTCACAATGGAGCATAGGCCGCCGACCAGCATTCTCCAACCCACTGTGTCCTGGGCCTTCTTTTCTACTTCCATCCAATTCTTGTTCATTTTTCTCACGTCTATTTCCATTTCTCAGCGAAATGTGTTCTTTGCTCTTCCTCTTCATCCCCAATGGCCTTGAGAATTCCATGTGAGGGCTTGTCTTGTGACGCAGTTGGGTGCTTTCCTCAATGTGCGTCCTATCCACTTCCAGCACTTCTTCCTAATTTCTTCATCCACTGGAATCTGGTTTGTTCCCTCCCACAGTACGTTGTTGCTAATAGTGTCCGGCCAATGGATCTGAAGTATTTTGCGTAGACAACTGTTAATAAACACCTGTATTTTCTGGATGATGGCTTTCGTAGTTCTCCAGGTTTCCGCCCCGGTAGACAGTGGAACTGTTTTGACATTTGTATTGAAAATCCTGACCTTGGTGTTGGTTGACAGTTGCTTTGAGTTCCAGATGTTCCTCAGTTGTAAACATGCTGCTCTTGCTCTGCTGATCCGCGCCTTCACATCTGCATCAGATCCACCCTGTTCATCAATGATGCTGCCCAAATATGTAAATGTTTTTACATCTTCCAAATCTTCTCCATCAAGTGTGATTGGATTGTTGCATGCTGTGTTGTAACGGGGAATCTTACTTTTCCCTTTGTTTATATTGAGACCTACTGCTGCTGAGGCTGCGGCCACACTGTTCGTCTTCTCCTGCATCTGTTGTTTCGTTTGGGATAGAAGGGCCAGATCATCTGCGTTGTCTAGATCGTCCAACTGCATCCTAGATGTCCATTGTATCCCGAGCCTCCCTTCAGACGTTGACGTCTTCATGATCCAGTCGATCACCAGGAGAAAGAGAAACGGTGAGAGTAAGCAACCTTGTCTAACACCGGTCTTCACTTCGAACGACTTTGTCAACTGTCCTCCATGCATGATTTTGCAGTGTAATCATCCATATACCCACTAATTTGTACAAATAAATGAAATACTGTAATTTTATACGCAACATGTAAACATTTTATTTATTTATGCAAACCAGTGCGTATGTAGATGATTTAGAAGTAATGAGACGGAATTAATTTTATTTTATATTGCTCGTTATTCTCTATTTACAAACGTTTATCAAAGGAACGAAGTGCAAGAAATACGTTGAATTTGACTGGTTGTTAATAACGAGATAAAACATATTTATGGTCATTTCATCACTTATATTTTGGTAAAATTAAATCTTGCTCAGTATATCAAGTTCCCGATAATGTACTTAAGCTCGGGCTAACTTTTTTGTATGGAGAACATGTTACACTATTCAGTTGCTCGAACTACTGAAAGTGAATATGGATTGAGGGTTGAAACCTTAGTGATTGTATAGTAAAAGCTCTGTCCAATCGATCACCTCTTCACTCTTTCATTTATTGTTCAAATAATTTCATTATATTATTGGATATTTTCTAAATAATGATTTTATTTATAAAATTCTCTCATGGTTTAATGAATGTTTCAATATTCATTATCTATGCGGTTTGAAATGTTATGTACTGTTTTGAATCAATTATTTAAGTCAATATATGATACCAGCCCCCAAATGCCCTGGTACGGCCGAGAGTAGGGACAGTCCGCCCTCCCTCTCGAAATGCTCTCACCTGGCCACGCGTATATAGCCTCTGCCACGGAAGTCCTACTCAGTGCCTCCTCGTGGCCGGGGCATTGTTTACGAAATTGAGAGGACGAAAAGCTAATGTCCGGCGCTGTAACCGGATTCCAAACCAAGGGTGCACATATGCTCCAGTATCCTAAAGGAACAAATTGTGTATGAACCAGTTGTTGGTCACCAGCTACCATGTGACTGCATCTCCTTGCGATGCTCCACTGCCTTGTGGATCAGACCTTCAGGTCGAAGGCTCCGGGTGTGGCCTTCTAAGAAAACTACCTGCTTCGGTTTGGGTGTGCGGGCAGTATCACAGCCCTCACACATATCGAATGAGATTCGTGTGGCGCATATGTATTTGGTGCCTCCTTGTACCAATATGTATGTGTTAAACTAACTAACTAAATAAATATATGATACCAACTATCATGGTATAATTCTTCTCAATTAAGACAAATAATAGTGAAACTTCACATTCTTTCTTCATGACACAATAGTTATGTTGTGTTGATGTTACAAATTAAATGTTTCGTTAACTCTTAGTTTAGGTAATGTAACTTGTTTATCATTTTAATGATGGTTTTTTTATTAGAGAAAAAAACGATACATTTTGAAATCATTTTATATTGATGCTGTTAGTAGTGTAGTCAATTGTTTTCATTATGTAATCCATTTTTAGTATTTTACAAGTAATGACTTAGTTCTTTTAAACAAAACTAGTACTTACTTACTTACTTACGCCTGTTACTCCTAATGGAGCATAGGCCGCCGACCAGCGTTCTCCAATACACAAAAATAGTAATCTAACTTAAATGAAAATGAAGAAAACGATAGTCAATGTTAAATTATAGTTCAATTTTTATGATGATATTACACGATAACAATAACATTGTTTACCTGACTGAAATGTGTTTGTATACTGAATAGCTATATATATATATATATGTATATATATTGCTCATTTTAATGAATTCATTTCTCTGTCTTTACTGAAATAATGTGGTTTACTTATTTTTTTATTGTCTCTGAAAGGCTCTTATTCAAGAATTGGAAGCCAGTAAATTACATGTTCATGAAACAGATTTAGATCCAATTTCTGCTTCACGATCACCGAATGCAAATGTAGAACCTGGTTACAAAACACGATATAGACGGCATGGATATACATGTACGTTTGTTTTCCTTATACATTATTTACTTACTTACTTACTTAATTACGCCTGTTACTCACAATGGAGCATAGGCCACTGACCAGCGTTCTCCATTCTACTCTGTCCTTGGCCTTCCTTTATAATTCTATCCAATTCTTGTTCATTTTTCTCACGTCTATTTCCATTTCTCAGCGTAATGTGTTCTTTGCTCTTCCTCTTCATCCCCAATGGCCTTGAGGATTCCATGTGAGGGCTTGTCTTGTGACGCAGTTGGGTGCTTTCCTCAATGTGCCTCCTATCCACTTCCAGCACTTCTTCCTAATTTCTTCATCCACTGGAATCTGGTTTGTTCCCTCCCACAGTACGTTGTTGCTAATAGTGTCCGGCCAATGGATCTGAAGTATTTTGCGTAGACAACTGTTAATAAACACCTGTATTTTCTGGATGATGGCTTTCGTAGTTCTCCAGGTTTCCGCCCCGGTAGACAGTGGAACTGTTTTGACATTTGTATTGAAAATCCTGACCTTGGTGTTGGTTGACAGTTGCTTTGAGTTCCAGATGTTCCTCAGTTGTAAACATGCTGCTCTTGCTCTGCTGATCCGCGCCTTCACATCTGCATCAGATCCACCCTGTTCATCAATGATGCTGCCCAAATATGTAAATGTTTTTACATCTTCCAAATCTTCTCCATCAAGTGTGATTGGATTGTTGCATGCTGTGTTGTATCGGAGAATCCTGCTTTTCTTTTTGTTTATATTGAGACCTACTGCTGCTGAGGCTGCTGCTACACTGATCTTCTTCATCCTATCGCGGGACGCCTCAGCAGTGTGCATCCACGACCCCGCCCCGCGGGATTCGAACCCAGGACTTATCAATCTCACACGCTAGCGCTTAGCCACTAGACCACTGAGCCGACATCCAATGGTATCCAACATCATTATGACATACAAAACATATTACACTATACGTGTATCTAATATCGGAATGAATAAATTTATAACAAATACACACAAAATTGTTTAATGCCGGTGTATTTCTTCATCGATCAACTGTTTTCAAGAAATATCAACCCCCAAGTTACAAACAAACATTGTATTATGTATAAACTTTTTTCATCAATAATTTAGTCCATAAACGTTTTTCATTCAATTCTTTACTTAAGTTAATATTATGCAGTAAAGTAAATTATTTCATATAGTTAAATAATTACAGTCAGACAAATTCAATGACCTAAATGTTTAACATAAATAGGTTAATCAGTTATTAAGCTATCTGTCTGTTAACTGTTTTCACAACCCACGGCAACGATACAGCCTTACAAATTCCTTTTATCCCATATATAATTTCTTTTTAAATATAGGTCATTTTTGAAACAGCTAAGCTTATCATATATAAAAAGTTTATAAAACTGTTTTATAAATATATATAACAGCGGGATCCAGAACGTGCTACTCATGCGGTTAGAGACTCGTCAATCGAATGAACTTGCGTTTCAGTGCTGATTTTTACATTGAGATTTAAAACCACTCCACTTTACTTCAAATGCCAACGCATTATTCCCCGAGCTACTGAGTTTTGATAACCGCTGACTTATGCAACGGGCATGAATTATATTTGTAAGGGTTTGTATTTTACCGTGGAACGAAACATGCATTCTGAATTTCACTAGTAGCCGCAAACTAAATATACTAAAAAACCTTTGACCAATGGCTTTATCAACCCAAACAATTCAGGATGAAAGTATGTCGACAGAGATTGATCAATTGTAATAATTATCGTCACTAATTGAAAAATATAATAACTTACAAATAAACAACTTTCAAGTTATCTCCTAAATATACTGAATTTTTTCCTAGAGTTGCTTCTTTGTATGCCTTTCACTTTCTGTCTAAAATAAAATCGACTTATTGAAATTTATATCTTAAAATCTTCTTTTGATTTTCTATGTTTTCTCATGCAGCTCCATCACGTGATACTAGGAGAGACCGTCGAAGTGGTCATAATTTATCCTATCGATTGGAATATTCCAGTACCGGTGGACGTTCAGGAACTATACCGAGTTTCTCATCAAGTAAAAATATAAATTTTTATTGACATTTTTACCTGGATCATATTACTTTAAGCATTATCTATTAACTGAACTGTGAATTTACGTACTTTTTTGTAGGCTTATTTTTCTGGGATTCGTTGAGAGTGTCTTATTACTGGTGTCTAGATTATTTCCTATTTAAATCAAAATACTTTTTTTCCTGTTTACTTAGAAATGTTGAATTACATTACATTTTAATTACTCTTATCTATAAAAGATATTAAGTTCTTTCTGAATGTCATAAATCTCTACAGACTAACATAATATCTCATATAAATGCTTACTTACTTTACTTACGCCTGTTACTCCTCGTGAAGGAGCATAGGCCGCTCACCAGCATTCTCCATCCAACCCTGCCCTGGGCAATCCTTTCCAGCTCCTTCCAGTTGTAATTCATCCTTTTCATATCTGCTTCTATTATCCGACGTAATGTGTTCTTTGGCCTTCCTCTTTTCCGCTTCCCTTCAGGAATCCAAGTTAGGGCTTGTTTCGTGATGCAGTTTGACGATTTGCGTAATGTATATCCTATCCATTTCCATTGTCTTTTCCTAATTTCGCCTTCAGCTGGATTCTGGTTTGTTCTCTCCCACAGTAGGCTGTTGCTGATGATATCTCATATAAATAGTGATTCCATAAAAAAGATGAGTTTAGATTAATGATGCAAATTATTACAAGTTAGGGATTATATGAAACGTAAACCCATTCACATGAATTTATTTATAAGAGGTTTCTAATAGTAAACAGTAATAAAACTTAGAATATGTATTGGATTCTGTGAATAATTGTGAATAATCGAAACAAAAACTCTATCGGAATCTTCGCTACATCATGATACACATATATCCAACCATTATTCACCCTCTTCTCTTATGTAATAAGTATGTCAATATCTGTAATAACGCTGACTTTCAAATATTTTAAGTTGTAAGTAGTTGATGAGAACCTAATAGAATAAAATGAATTCATTTATTATTCGGCACCAATCTTTGTTCTTGTTCTCTTTAAGATAATAAAGGGAACTATATGTATGAAAATTCTTTAAAACTGTTGAATGAATGAGACCATTCAAAATAGAACTGAATACAAACTGACATAAGTTAGATAATCATACGAGAATTTATCAGTTATTATGTGTAAATAAACTAATTTCGGTCAATTGTAATAATAATTATAATACGTAGTGGAAGTGTATACAATGTGTATTACATCAGAATAATTCAAAGTTTGTTACATTTATCGACAGTGTTACGTATTAACAAACTTACACTAATGAATCGTCATCTGTTTGATTAAATGGTACATTTTCAAGAGTTTTTTTTGTGACAATTTGAATAACAATAGAATCGTTGCCAAACAAATAGAATACCGAAAACTTATTATGAATGGTTTTTAGTGTTTCTTTGTGACGTAATTTTATAACCATTTGTGCTTGGGCCTAGACTTACAATCATGTAAAGCCCCCCTACGGAATTTGAACTGTTCCGTATCTTTATGAAGATTTAGTGTCATCATCATTTGGTGTTGGGTTTTTTGTGTGTTCAATTCAGCTCTGCCTATTTGGATTCTTAATCACACATTCCCTCTTCAGCTAAACATTCACCATTAGTGGTTTTATGTAATCAATCACACATAGATTGTGTTCCTTGTATTTTCAAAAAATACTTATCAATTTAGCATAAAATTAATATCTCAGTCTTCGGAATTTTTAATTCCATTCCATTAAAAACTGTCTCTATCTATTTATATATATTTATGTTTGTCCACATCATCATCATCATGTTCTAGGATACGATCATGAGTATACAGTCAGACAACATGGTCAGTACATGAGATCAACTTATACAGGTATTCTGATTCATTATCATTTTGGAATTATTACTCCTTGTATACTGTAATAAATGGCATGTGGTTCTGTCAACACAAATTTGCACTTCATTTAATTTTCTATATTCTTTTTTTGTGCATTATTACCACTAAAAATGTCTGTTCATTTTTACATGAATATAAGTTGTATTATTGAATACTTTTAATGGATTTCAATCTAGTTTAAGAAATGAGTGAATTTTGAACAGTTGTTACTATGGTGATGCTATTAATGGTAAAAAAAAACAAAACAATAACACTACTATTAATTGGGATTTATCGATAGTGAATGTTTCCTTTATTTTGTTTCAACTTCATCCTTTTTATTCACAGCGGTTGTTAAAGTTTCGTAACTAAGATTAAAATTACAATAATAGAAAGATTTTGACTTTGTTAAGGGAACAGTCTTTGGATAACTTGAAATAATACTGAATATGGCTTCGGTTTTACACCCATATTATATACATGCTTTCGTCATGGAAAATCTGGTAGGAATCAACTTTTTTTGTTGTTGCTTATAAACGAGTACTTCGTGATTGCGGAAGGTAATAAGTACATCATTTTAAGGAATAGCAAATTAGTTGGTCAAGTATTTGGATTTCTGTGTATAAAGCAATTAATCACGTTGTTTTATACAAATGATAATCCCCTAATCGGAGTTACGTTGCTCACTTCTCGGTCACATAAAGCTTTAAATAATTGGACTTTTGATTAGCTTCTTCAAAATGAACATCTACATGACTTCTACTTAAAACTTTGTTTGACTTCTGATCTGCATTATATACTATTTTAATGTTTGTACATGTTGTAGGCAAATTTTGTTCTATTTCATACTGTCGCATTGTCTTTTTCTCACTAGGTTTATTAGTTCCTAACGCTTTGCATGACAACTATATGTTCCATTATTTCTGAATATATGAATGTGAATGGATTTCGGTTAATCCTCATTATGTTATTCGACTACATTTGTTTACGTTTTCCATTGTAAACATACATACAAACACGTTTACTAAGTTCCAATATTTCTTTCAAGGGTTTATGTTGGTAGCAGACAGTTTTTAGTGACGTTAGTAAATTCACTAACCAGTTACATAGTTTATAATAGAATAATAATTATGTGTTGGTAACGCATAAGTGTATAATTTCTAAGAGATGAATATACGAGGTTTGTTTAGTGAAGGCCACAATTTCATATGAAGAGAATAGAATTATTAGTGAAGTAAAAATGACTCAAATGTCACATACTGTCTGAGTTATTCAAGTCTATTCTAGAGTTAGGATAAACCACGTCGGTGTGTAAAGTTTTCATTAGTCATTTAATATGAAGAAACAACTGATAGTGAGTGATTTAAACTGTTGTACTGATTCGGAAAATTATGATTATAATCTTAACTACTACTTATTTACTTAATTTACATGGAGTTTGGTGTAACTGGGTGATATGATGAAAAGAAAAGTCAATTTTCGATTGATTTACTCATTATGAGATTTGTTCTAGATTAATTCCTTTTTGATTCAATGTAATGATTACTCAGTGTAGTATTTGTTTTCTCGAATGATATTTTATTCCGTATAATATACGATATTCTTGTATTCCATTGACATGAACTATGCTCAGTATGTGATTTCTTATAACTCGAAGTATTTTTCATATATGTGATTTCATCCTAATTATTAATCGAAATGGGTGTACAATCAATATATGAGTGTATTTTCTACTAGAGTCGTCGTCGTCGTGTTTTGGGGTTAACAAATCATCACTTATACCACTCTTGTGTTCTTACTTTCGCATCGTGGAAGTTGCAGAGTTCCCTCGTGTCGAGTATAAAAGATAAGCTTTTCCGACATAACAATCAGTGACGACCAGATACAAAAAGCAGCATGAAAAGAGCCTAGACAATAAGCATTCAAACGATAGGTTTTAACAGTGAGCAACACAATAGTGTGTATACCATACAATATAAACTCTATGTGTGGCCTGGAACATCTGTCAGCCACCCAAAAAAAACTTGGTTTTCTTCAGGGGTTACGTTCTGTATCCACAGTTTTTATTAAGAGCCAGGTATTCATTTTCCTCTTCACGTTCGTACAAAGTGCCTTTCTATGTGAAGGCAAAGATGGGTGTTATTAGGTTGTACTTTTCCTCTTGCTTAGTCGTTAAGTGTCTGATACTTGAATCAGTCAATTAATGTCCTTCTACTTTCAGAGAATAGGCATACTTTAAGCTCCCTAATTGAAGGCATACTCAGTGATATCAATTCAGCTTGTTGATCACGAAATTCGCTCGAAATGTTTATTATAGTTTAGTGAATTACGTCAGATTTTCGGATTTCAGCTGACTACTGTTGAATAGGTCATTGATTGTAGCGAAATGTTCGTATTACGTCTATGCTGTAAATATTTTATGGCAAATGCTATATGTATGTGATTACTTAAAGAATTATATCTTAACAAAGTCGTTTCATTAAATTGTTATCAGATAATTGATAAAGGTCTAATTATTAAGTAAACTGACTACTAATACTGAATGACAACTCAAGATGTTAGAGAACACTATGTTTATCCTCCAAATATAAAAATATTACATTGAAACTGTTGTATGAAAACTAGTTTGATTAGAAGTAGATGAAATTATCCAGAGATTTCGACTTTTTCATTTCTCTCTAGTGTCATCCCCTTTAATGGTTGAACAGTTGTTAAAATTTCAAATCAGATCTAATTTATTTCAAGTTTGTCGCACAATACACATCATAAATCAAAGAGTAATTTATTTTCTGAACTTTTCTCGTGATTGTAAACTGTTTTACATGCATTTCACCTAAGAAATCTAGGATCTAACACCGTTTATCCTAGAAATTATGTAATAAAATCAAATACGTAAACACTTCAAAATGGTTTTTTTGTAGATTTTTAGAAATTTCACAGGTTGAAATCATGTGCGGGATCGTGGATGCGCACTGCTGAGGAGTCCCACACTAGGACGAAACGGCCGTCCAGTGTTTCCAGGTTTTCTATGGTGGTCTAGCTTCAATTGACTCATGATTTCGGCATAAACACTTGTTCGACGAATTCGTTACATTTCTAGTCGTTTTTAAACTTAGACTGTTGGTATTCGATTTTGAGTATTTTTAATTTTAGAACAATGTTACTCATATAAGCCTAAAATTAATTGAAGATTACTAGATAGCAACTATAAGTCTGTTTATATTCTGGTTATGCACTTTAATCAGTTATAATGGTTAGGACATATGGTACACATGGTTAATGTTATACTAAGGTTATTTTTTGTTGTTGCTAATTCTTTTCTATATTGTCTAAAAACTAGTTTGTGTAAACAAGAAAGAAAAGGGTTTTAATTTATTTACTTTTATACATCTGTGAATTTTTTTCGCTTATTGGCTGCATTCATATTCACCTTTATTATCTTTATCACATATTTTGAAATTCATTCTCACCTGTCTTATTATTTCTCCCATAGTTATATCATTGGGTTTTTTTAAAAAACACTATTGCATGTTTGCATAGATTGGAGAGCTATGAAAGTAATGGGTTCTATGTATATTGTATTGTATTTCTTCTTTGTCATGTTTCTACAACACAGTAACTTTGTCAGTTCCTTTTCTGGAGGGTAATTACAAAATGAAAATTACAGTCCAATGCAAAACGATGTGTAACTTTGAATATTTTTTTCTGGTTAGCGTTTTTTAGCGAGTTAGTTTTCTACGGGATAGGGTCGCCAAACGTATGCCCAACCCTCCTCCTTTATCAGAGATTAGGACCGGCAGTAGCCTCCGGAGGGACTCCAGGCGGAGTTATGTGTAACTTTAGAGGATATAAAATAAAAATTCAACTAAAAAATGTGTTTTTTTAAATTCTGCTAAGGAATATTGTTTTAAGTATGAGTAACTCCTAAATCCAATTTAGATATTGTGAGTGGTAGAGTGGAACCATGTTTGAAGTGGGCCTATTGCGCATTGGTCACATTAGTTAACGATCGCTCTACTTGACAAGTTGATTTGAGTTAAAGAAGGAGTTTATTGAATTTAGACTCTAAAATCTAAAATCATACTTCTCTTTGTGAGACATGAACTTGTTTATGTGCGTACGGCTTTTAGCGCTCACTGCAATACTGTTTTAAAATAGAATGAAAAATCTGTCTTCTTATTTCTAGCTCTCAACAGTTTTTGGATGACGTCAGTTTGTGGCTTTAATTTTCTTTAGATATCTCATATGAATATGAATTTCATTATTCCAATGAATTTATCGGCGAAATTGTTGTTTGACTATGTTTCATGGAAAACCCAGTGTCTAAGTTCGTCTGCTAAACATACCTACAAACCGTAAAGCAAAGATATAGGCAGTCATTTTTACAAACCACAAATATCAGCGTTCAGTAATGTTTTACAATCAACTATACGTTTGTTTACTGTTTATTTAACTAGTAGTAACAGTAATCTCATGATCAAAACTTGATTACTTTCTGAAAAGTAAAGCGTTTTAAGATGGTGGATAAATTCGAACACTTTACTTCTATCTGAAGTTTGTGCTGATGATGTCGTTCAGAAGAGCGATGAAAGCTTCACGACTAAACCATCCAGCTCAGAGTACAAAACTTTATCACAAGTAAAACGTTTTAAACAAAGAAATTAACATTAGAGCATATGATCCATATAAAATCACGACTAAATTATCGTAAAAATATTTATTGAACCATGCAATTACCAAAGTTTTTATGATAAATTAAGTTTTCACTAATTCAGTCATTGATTCGGTGTATACTTCCTTCTGTTTCCAAATAAGTGTATATTTCACTCTCTTAATTACTTTTATTTGCTAAAGCAAACAAAGATATTAGTATTGTTTTTTGTAGAATATCAACATGTGCTCACTGGTGACTAGCCTCGTGAGCGAATTCTCGGAGTTCTAGTGAGAAGCCGTGACCAGTGGAGGTAATCCATGTCGGGTAGAGACAAGTATCTATCTCATTACAACGGAAGTTGGTCGCGCGCCATTGGATGTCGGCTCAGTGGTCCAGTTGGTTAGGCGCTCGCGCGCGAGACCGATGGCCCTGGGTTCGAATCCTGCGGGTGGGATCGTGGAAGCGCACGACTGAGGAGTCCCGTAATAGGACGAAACGGCCGTCCAGTGCTTTCAGGTTTTCAATGGTGGTCTAACATTAATCGGTTCATGATCTCAATGAAAAACTAAATAATCTCCACAACCCCTGTACCAGTAATACCTTATGTGTTAAAAATTTAGTTATGTTTAACATTTGTGTGATAGTAAATATGTAGTTTAGTATGTCATTATGCCTACATTTGATAAGTCAAATGACAAAATAGACTACAGAATAATTTCCTTTATGATTTATAAACTGTTCATAATCAATTTGAAGAGAAATGAATTGGTTATATCATTCTTAAACATTCTATAGAATAGTTGATATATCTGTATCTAAAGATCAATTGTTTTAATCACTAAGTGACTGATATTAGATACGAAATATTTTTTTACTTTACACATTCATTAAGGGGAATATAATTGGTCATTTATTAATTTCCTGTATCTTAATTAATAAATTTATCGGTATTTTGTTCCATAAGTCATTACTGATTTACGAAGATTTTGCATTGAACTATTTCACTGTAATTTTTTATTTTTATTTTTCAACTTCAATTGTGATTTATTAATGTTTTGTTGTCAAGGTGAACATCTATTCACCCTTGAGTCTATGCAGTCAAACTGATTTATTAAATTAAGATTAAAACAGTGTAAAATAGTGTCCCCATTTACCACTATTCTTATTAGGAATTATAATGTATCGTTTATTTTCAGTCTACTAAAATACATTCAGTAAATATACGATTTATAAAAATACATCTCAACTTTATTGTTTAATGAGTTTATTCCATTTCTATTCAGTTAGTAGCAAGTATACTTATGTTTATTGTTGTCTTCAGTATTATTTATTGATATCTAATTTGTTTTGTAAATGATAGCTCCACGTCCTGGCTACACGTCTGGAATACTTTATGGTCGAGCGGTTAGTTTACCGCGACCATTTATCGGTGTAGAAAATGGTGATACACTATTAGATCAAAGTACATTGTCTGGACATGTTCCAGTTGCAAGTTCAGGTATACGTGGATCTTTATCAACAACTTTGAGAACAATCCCATCACGTCATAGTTATCATCCAGGTGGACATTCCAATCATTCAGATGAAGTTATCAATGGTCCTGACCGTACAGTCACTGTATCGGAATCACTGAATACTAATTTTATCGAAAATGAATCACGTCCAATTGGTTTTCATGATGGATTAGGTTCATGTGAGTAATACTCTTATGAATTATGTTTTTTCCCTTCTTTTAATGATTACTCTTCAATTCCGACTTTATAGTGTACGTCGAAATTCACTTGTTTACTTTGTTTGCTTAACTATCATTTTTAGCTCTTACTTTCAGTTCTACATAATTTTCAATGATTCTTTACTTGACGTTACTACAAATCATTTGATTGAAATGTAAAACATTGTATATGGAGCTAGTACTCCAAAGGTAGGCGGCCTATTCTCCTCCATGAAGGGCAACAGACGTAATTAAGCAACTCTATAAGTTAAGCACTAACCTTGATATCTGAAGGATCTGGTTCTCATCCTCTGTTGTGAGGCCGTGTATTCTCACTGCTATGAAGCCCCATATTAGGACGAAGCTGCTATCCAGTCATTATCGATTATCTACGGTTATATGACTGATGTTAGTCCATGGGGTGGAACTATAAAGTTTTACAACCTTCATAAACCCCCATACTAAAATATCACCAATTTGGACAATCTCCATGAACCTCTGAAGTTAATAGAAAACTTTTCTTTGCTCATTGGTTTTACAAAATATAGTTTTATATAAAGTATTTATCGATATACAGATTGTCCTGTAAACCATGTCTCTTGATATTCCCTATTATTCTTTAAATTTATTCAATTCAGAGTGTTAATGCTATCTCGATAAAATCCTTGTATTTTGTTGTCTGAGTGCATTGATTTAAGTGATAGCTATTGTTTGTATATCTACAAATGAGAAGGAACAAACTCTGTTCAATGTGGTACTTGCAATTTCTTACATACCGTATAAACGGACATATATTTGTGTATCTGAGGTTAAAACTTACAAGAATTAATGGTAACGTGTTTTCTTGTCCAGTTACAAATATGAATATCTTTTCTAAATAATAATTTGTCCTTATAACCAATGTTGATGATGTACATCTATTAATTATTTGACAGTAGTCGTTATTGTACAGTTTCTTTTCTACTTAAAAGTGATCTCATTCGTTACACTGTATATCATCTATAGAAAACCAGTAAATAACCATGACCATTATTATTATTAAGATCGTTTGATTAAGATACTTTTGAAATACTAACACAATAACAATTAAGTAAATTGGTCGTAATAAACAACAGTTATTTAACTAACCTTTCTTCGCTTCCTCTGGTTTTTAATAAAATGTCCTTCATCGTAGTGGTCACTTCCTTGGTTCTTGACCGTTTATATTTGTTGTATAAATAAACTACTTCATTGCAGTTAAGCGTAATTTACATTTTCATAATTCCCGTTTCTCTATTTTTTCTTGTTCACATTCATTATTACAGTGACAACATCAGGTTTATCAATGGATGGTTTTATGGCAGAATCCGGTGATGATATAACTATTACTAGTCCACATAATGGTTATTTTTTAAAATCCAGGACTGTAGCTGGTCTGCCTAGTTCTGTAACAGGTCTTCGACCAGTTGGTTTACCACCACATCATCCTTATCATCATCATCATTACAAAACTAGTAGTTCAGCAATGAGGCGTGGACGCATTAGTACTCCAGGACCAACTAGAAGTGGTAGTGGTATAGGTTATTTAACTGATCCTGATCTACTAGATATTGATGCTTATCCGTCTGTACAAAGTTGGTTAAGGCCTACTGCATCATCATCATCGAAATATGAAAAGTCTTTCAAAGTAAGCGTTGTTTCGTATTGATGAGTTTCAGGGATTTTTAAAAGATGTTTTCACGAAAATTATAATCGATTATTTTTAGACATTAGATGGTAAAATAACTTGAAATTAATTTGATTCTTTGAGTAAATGATCTAATCCATATATCTTATGTTTGTATGTTAAACAATAGTGATTTTTCGTATTAAATTTATTACAAACACATTAATGATAAATCTAATATAACTTATTTGTGGTGCATACTACTTATATTGATATAAGTAGTATATGACGCGAGTCAGGAATGTAATGTCTGGCAGCAGAAGACGGGGAAGATCAAGAAAGGAAGAGCAGAAGTAGAAAGCATTCAAGTGTTATAATGACTAAATGAATACCTTTCCAAAAAAGTTTTTGATGAAAAAAAAATTAATTGTATAGAGATGGATATCTTGTCAATGTAAGTCAACATATCCACCATGGTGTGTACAATTCACTCGTCATTTTTTTTCAATACAAATAATAAACAATTACCACAATTGATTGATCACTGGGTGACGATCAATAACATGCGTGTCTAGTCCTTATTGGTGCAGATCGAATGCTATCGACCATAATGCGATGTGGCCATCAGTCTAGGTGACTCGATATTGCGGGCACTATATATTGAGATTAGATGGTGGTTGGAGGTGGTTGGTAACGTCTCTGACTGTGAAGCAGGGTGACATGAGATCGAATCCGCCAGGAAGCACCAGTTCCCTCAAGATTGCAGGTACACCTTGCTGACGAGTGCCAAGTAGCACGAAACTCGGGTCCAGGGTTTCCTGTCGACTACCTCTAACTACCATCTAATCTAAATAACCAATTACCTTGTATTCTACAATCAATCTCATTCTTGCTTTATTCAAGTTATTACACTGTTTATTATCTTTAGTACAATGAACATATAAACAAAAACTTTATATTACTGTTAGTTTAAAGATTTATTTTTATTTCTAATTGTGATTTCTTCTCCTATTTTTATAACCTCAACAATAAACTACTTTTGAATTACTTCTTTTTTTCTTCTTCAAATACTATTTATTGTCAGCTATACATACATCATAAAGTGTTCTTCCTTGTTTTCCTTCGGTGTTCTACATTTAAGTCAGTGTGTTTCGTCTCTATGCATATACGCATTTATATCCATCATGTCTGGATTACTTTCCTTTGTATTATTTTATTGTTAATTAAGCTAAATATAAATTGACTATATTTCTCATGAGATGAGATATGTTTTTATTTCTTCTCTTTTCTTCACATTATTTTAATGGTCATATACAGTTAAACGGTTGAGCTTGTGAACACTATAACGATATATGTGAACTGTTAATCCATATTATTTTTCTACTACAAGTCATTTCACAAAACTTAATTTCTTTATCCATAGTTATATGTCACAATCATGAAATGTATATGTTACTCTTTACAATAATACTAAAATCTCCACAAAATCCCTTCTGATAATAATCATCGTGTGCTCACTAGGGACTGGCTTCATGAGGTATTTCCTGGAATTCTAGTGTGAGGCAGTAACCAGTAGAGTTCAGGCGGGTCTGTTGTAAGATAGTAACTCAGTGAAGACGATGGTGGATTGCTTGGAGTTAGACATTAACACGGTTGGATGCGGGTCAGCTCACTGGTCTAGAGGTTATGCATTCGTGCGCAAAACTGAAAGGTCCTGGATTCGAATCTCGTGAGGCGAGATCTTAGATGTGTAGTACTCAGGAGTTCCATACTAAGACGAAACGGCCGTCCAGTGCTTCCAGGTTTTCCATGATAGTCAAGCATCAATTGACTCATGAATCTAACTATAAGAATACTAAGATTGATTATATGTGGAAATTTTCTGACAGTAATTCGCACTACTACCATTTAGTAGTAGTCCTAATAATCGATTGATTTGAGGATTGAATAACTATGAAACTAATACAAGTTTGTACACGCATTGAGCCAAAGTGTTTGTATATTTTTCATCGCTATACAAGTTACTATTTTTATTTAATATCGAAGATAATCGTGGATAAGAAACTTAATAATTACATTCTTTGAATATCCATTTTTTTCTACATTTGAACGCTTATGTATATTCATTGTTAATAAAATACGCCTTCTTCATGCTTCTAAAAAGTATTTACTTTAGGTTTAATACTTGGTAACATAAAACTAGATAAATAACAAATCATTGTATGGTATATTTGTCAAATCAACGATTATCTGTAGCAGAACTGCGTACATATTTTTTAAAATATTTTACATAGCTGGAACAACGTATCATTATCTGAGCCACTTTTTTCTCCATAGTCTTGATATCAGTTTGGTTGTCAAAAGCTGAAGGAATAGAGGTGTTGATGAAAAGTGTCCTACTCTACGTTTTCAAAATCTTGGACCTGTTTGGCAACTCATTGTGTTTAGTTATTGTTGTCAAGGATCGGCTGCATCCAGTGGGAGCACTAAGTTAATAACTCTGTGGTTCATCAATGTGTTCTGACGTAGTAATGATAACTCAATTGATGTTACCATGTCAAAACACGGGCTTATGTAGTTTATACATGTTTACGAATATCGCTCCAATGTCCTCTACATAATGCATTAGTTGCTGACCCTGGGACTTTAAATATAATACTTGGTAACATAAAACTAGATGAATAACACATTTTTTGTCAGGTAAATCTATCATATCTGGATGGTAAAACCGATAAGCTAGTGAGTTTATAGCATGAAACCGGGAAATGCAAGCTAAGTTTATAAGAGCAGTAGTAACTAAATATTCACGATCTTCTAGTTTGAGCCCTATGTTAACTATTTTCTTAAATCAAACGTATCTTTTGCTCTATACTGTTATAGTTTCTATGTTCATCGATTATATGATTTTTTTTCCTCCTATTTATAGTAATATTATTATTTCACTTAATACAAGCTACATTCTTTCGGTATCTTATTACATTGAACTATATTTTTGTGTTGTCAATAAGAAAAACGAGTAACTTAGTCGTAAATATGTCATCCATCGTTCAACAAAACAATCAAAAATTGTTTATGCTAAATGTTCTTTTTTTTTGTTTGTTTGTTTATTTATTTAAATTCCGGTAGATTTATCCTTATGAAATGTTAAAATTATCATCAAATCAATTATTGAAAGGAGTGGATCGAACACAGTTAGAGGTAAATTGTTTCTTTAAATTGTAGCCTATTACTTACTTACTTACTTACGACTGTTACTCCCAATGGAGCATAGGCCGCTGACCAGCATTCTCCAACCCACTCTTTCCTGAGCCTTCTTTTCTAGTTCCATCCAATTCTTGTTCATTTTTCTCATGTCTATCTCCAGTTCTCGGCGTAATGTGTTCTTTGGTCTTCCTCTTTTCCTTTGACCTTCAGGATTCCATGTGAGGGCTTGTCTTGTGACGCAGTTGGGTGCTTTCCTCAATATGTGTCCTATCCACTTCCACTTCCACTTCCACACAGTAGAACTGTGTTGACATTTGTATTGAAAATCCTGACCTTGGTGTTGGTTGACAGTTGCTTTGAGCTCCAGATGTTCTTCAGTTGTAAATATGCTGCTCTTGCTTTGCCGATCCGCGCCTTCACATCTGCATCAGATCCACCCTGTTCATCAATGATGCTGCCCAAATATGTAAATGTTTTTACATCTTCCAAATCTTCTCCGTCAATTGTGATTGGATTGGTGCATGCTGTGTTGTATCGGAGAATCCTGCTTTTCCCTTTGTGTATGTTGAGACCTACTGCTGCTGAGGCTGCTGCCACACTGTTTGTCTTCTCCTGCATCTGTTGTTGCGTTTGGGATAGAAGGGCCAGATCGTCTGCGAAGTCTAGATCATCCAACTGCATCTTAGATGTCCATTGTATCCCGCGCTTCCCTTCAGACGTTGACGTCTTCATGATCCAGTCGATCACCAGGAGAAAGAGAAAGGGTGAGAGTAAGCAACCTTGCCTAACACCGGTCTTCACTTCGAACGACTTTGTTAACTGTCCTCCATGCACAATTTTGCAGTGTAATCCATCATATGAGTTCTGTATGATATTGACTATCTTCTGAGGCACGCCGTAGTGTCGAAGAAGTTTCCATAGTGTTGTTCTGTCCACGCTGTCAAATGCCTTTTCGTAGTCAATGAAGTTGATGTAGAGTGATGAATTCCATTCAATTGATTGTTCCACAATGATCCGTAGAGTTGCGATTTGGTCTGTACACGATCTATCCTTACGGAATCCTGCCTGTTGGTCTCGAAATTGGGTGTCTACGCAGTCCTTCATCCTGTTTAACAATACCCTGTTGAAGACTTTTCCCGGTATTGAGAGAAGGGTGATGCCTCTGTAGTTATCACACTTGCTGAGATCGCCTTTCTTCGGTATTTTGATTAGAAGTCCTTCTTTCCAGTCTGTTGGTACTTGTTCCTCATCCCAAATTTTATTGAAGAGAATGTGGAGTATCCTTGCAGTTGCCGCTACGTCTGCTTTTAGTGCCTCTGCTGGGATGTTGTCCGGTCCTGCTGCTTTGCCACTCTTGATTTGTCTGATGGCCATGCTGATTTCTTCAATTGTTGGTGGGCCAACATTGATTGGGAGGTCCGTGGGTGCTGCTTCGATGTTGGGTGGGTTCAGTGGCGCTGGTCGATTCAAGAGTTCTTTGAAGTGTTCTACCCACCTGTTTTGTTGCTCTTCAATGTTGGTGATTACCTTGCCTTCCTTGCTTTTCACTGGTCGTTCTGGTTTGCGGCGATTTTCAGAGAGTTTCTTTGTCGTGTCATACAATTGTCTCATGTTTCCTTCTCTTGAAGCCTTTTCCGCCGTCGTTGCTAAATCTTCCACATATTTACGTTTGTCGGTTCTGATGCTCCTTTTCACTTGTTTGTTTATTTCCGTGTATTCAGCTTGTGCCTTAGCTTTTTCTGCTCTTGTTCGGCTGGTATTGATCGCTGCCTTCTTGTTTCTTCTTTCTTGAATCTTATCCAGTGTATCAACAGTGATCCATTCCTTGTGGTGGTGCTTCTTGTGACCCAGGACCTCATGACATGTTGAAGTGATTGCCTCTTTGGATAATGTATTCTTCCTATTTATGTTTTTTATACGTTACATAATAATCGTTCATGGTTACTGTTGATGATATCGAATGAAGTCAAATAACTGTTTATCGAGAAATGATCAGTAATAAAATGTTCACAATCTTTTATTTATCATGTATCAACATCAGGTCGAATATGAACTAGTAATCCACTAATTAATATTTGTATATTGGAACTGGAATTCACAGATTGTTATTGATTACAATCGAGTATTTGGATAGTTCTTCATATGAGAAATCTAGTAATATTATTTCGTGATAGTTTATATGTTGACGATAGTCATCAAAACGTTTAAACAAAACTTCTAATTAGAATCAGTTGTTTTACAATTCATAATCTTCGTAAGACAATCATTAAAAAAACAGGAAGAACTGAACCATCGTTTCGTGTTCTAGTATGGAATCTGTGAACTGTGTATCAATGACTCGACCGTTAAACAAACTCAAGAATTTTAGATCAATACTACAATTGTATAGTCATTCCTGGTTTCCATTAGTTGTCTGACGAAAGTCAATCTGTCATATAAAGTATACAATTTAGCAATTTACACATATCCTCTACACTAACAAAATCAGTTATTTTTCTTCAAGTCTAATTATAATAACTACTAGGTAACTGTTTATAAAAGGACGAGTATACTCCGTCGCGGTTCGCTCTGCTTTAATTTACTGCAGCGAAACATGGCCATTAAGAGTAGAAGACACTCGTAAGCTACTAGTACTTGACCACAGATGCCTGAGAAATATTGCTGGCATCTGCTGGGATCACCGGGTAAGTAATAGTGAGGTTTGACGCAGGGTATTACGGAATGATGTTAAATCAGTTGATGAGGTTGTGAATCTTCATCTACTGAGATGGTTGGGCCACGTGTTGTGTATGCCTGAACACCGATTACCACGACATGCAATGCTAACCGGTGTAGGGGATGGTTGGAAGAAAGTTAGGGGCGGACAAGCTAAATCGTGGCATCAGTGCTTGAAGTCAGTAACTTCTAGCCTGAGCCATGTTGGTAGATGCAGACTACTTGGTTGGGGTCCGCGTGACTATCGTGACCAATGGTTGGAGACTCTTGGTGACATGGTTCAGAATCGATCACAATGGCGTCGGTGTATACACTCTTTGTCTTCCCCTAAACTAAAAGATTAAAATCGTTTCATATTTTTTTTCTACCAACTAATTCTTTCTTCCTGTACTATATCTTTATACACAATCTTTATTTTATATATTACCACCTCTGAATTAACTACATTTATGAATCCGATATCCATCTTGTTGTGTTAATAACGTATGGCAACTTGAACCGATGTATATATGTGCCTGGTCCTACATTGTAGCTGACTGACTGACTAAGGAAACTGTTTATCCTTAAACATTTTCACTTATTTATAATAAATTTATATTTTACACTTATCTTGTTTATATAGTGTTATTTATCAACCGATGAATTTGAACGTTTATTCAATATGTGTCCTGAAGCATTTCAACGTTTACCTGAATGGAAAAGAAATGATTTAAAAAAGAAATTAGATTTATTATAATTAATTCATTGAAATATAATTGACAAATGTTCTTTAATAAATAAAAAGTCACATTGATGATAAGGATGATGATGATGATAATAATAATAATAATAATGATAGAATAAATGATTAAAATATATCCCAAAAAGTAATGAAACTAATTTATTGATTTTATTCAATATTTAAAAATGAATAGAATAAGAACCCTCCCCCCCCCATGCTGTTCAAGTTAATTTCTGATTTTAATTCCTCTTATCATCATCATCATCATCATCTTTATTGAAATAATGTATGAACAAAACTAAAGATTCATTGTTGAAATATATCAACTTGTCGTTTTCTTTTTTTTTGTGTGTGTGTTCATTATGTGCACAACATCTTCATGTTGGTCTGTTGCACTTTATTTATTATTGTATGTATCCATGTAAAAGTCAGTAAGAGTTTGTACGATCATCATCATCATCATCATCATTGTCACCATGATCACAATCAATATATATATCACATTGATAGTAGTTTCAAAATTCAATGATATTGATTCATTTATTCGACTTTTATTTCGCTTTTTTTATTGTCAAATTGTATTTTATTTCTTTTTTTTCTCTTTTTTTTGTAAAATAAAATCTCTTTATTTTTGCAAAAAAAAAACTAAATATACAATTTTCTTTTTTTTCTTTTTTTTCTAAAGCAAACCAACTTTGTTTTTTTTTTTCGTGTTATATTTTGATTTTCTCATTTTACTTCTTAGTTCTAAGCATATACAAGTTTTATTTTGTGATCCTTGGAAACGATTTATATTCATAATGGGAACATAATGATTATCATTATGAACACACTGCTAGATATGAATATAACTAAGTATGATTATGTCGAGATTTTTGTTGTTGTTTATTATTCATTGAATACAGTCTGTAATTCGGCTTGAGTAACTTTATATAATCGAGTGTTTATATGTGTGTACAGTGCATATTATTACTATAATTATTATTATCATTATTATTACTACTACTATTAATGCTGTGCTTCATCTTAACCCTGGTTTTCATAGGTATTTACACTCAATTACTCACATCGTATGTGCCTCTCTCTTCCTATATATATAACCTGTATTTCGTCCTTTATTAACGAAATGTATCAACGTTAGTTTTATGTTTTATGTTTATTATGATGTTCTTATGAACTTGAACAAGTGAATTAATGTTTTTTGTTTCCCTTTCAAAGATGAATTCTTATTCTCCTTGTTCTTATCATCATTCTTTTATAGTTTCACATGATAACAAATTTATATTGTATTAAATATTGTTCGCTTTTGTACAGCAGTTGTTGTTGAATGTGTTGAGAATACTCCTACTTAATACAGATTTTCGATTGAGCAAACATAGATCTTTTTTTTTCTTTTATTTTGAAAACAAAGATAATGAATTTCATTTCATCTTCTAGGAACTTTGAAAATAAAAACAAAAGAGTAATCAAACAGTAATGCAAATGTATTTCATCATGTTATCTCTTTTCTTTTTCCTGGAAACAAATATAACTCTTCATTGATATGTCAATTACCGAGACTTATTGCTCAATGTCTTTAACGGTATACATATTCTACTTGACAAAATGGTGTATGCATGTCAAAGAGAACAACATTAACATTTCACTTATGTTTGTAATATATAACGTTTGATGAATTCATATATGCAAGTGTAATATTATATGTATGTGAGAAATAATTTTAGATTGTGTTGTCTTTATTATCTGTTAACATTGGCTATCAGTTGTTCACAAAGTCTTTCTCTGATATCATTCTTTCTTGCTCTGACTATTTCTCTTGCCTCTTAATTATAAATTAGCTATTTATTTGTGTGTACACATTGTGCACAAAAATATCTCGACTATTCGATTGTATGTGAAAAAGAAACATCTTTCAAGCATAGACATATATATATATATATATATATCTTGAACTAGAAAAGATAATTCCTATACAGTGAAGATTCTTCTCAACTTTTGAGTCTTATTAATTTAACTAAGAATTTGTTCATCTATGTTGGTTTGCTTTATTTAAACCTTCTTAGAATTTCTTTAATAGTCTTTCTTATTTCGTTGTCATTGACGCCTTTTCTTGTTCTTTTTTTCTGTCCATTTCGATGCTGACTACTTACTTATTCATTTTGTATCTCTTATAGCTTAAGAAAAAAAATCAGCTTTCTTTAATGTATGCAAATACTCATTCACACGTATACAATTGCACATTTAGCAAAACTAATGGGTGAATTCACGTTGATTTGATTTGTGTGTTCTTTTCCTCCCAATCTGTTAGAAGATTGTGTTAAACATACTGTGTTAATGATGTTGATGCATTTTCTTTTCGTTGATTCTTGTTGCGTCTTTCTCTTCTCTTGGCTAAATTTGTTCGTTAATCTCACTTTTGTTTGTTATTGTTGTTGTTGTCTATTTTGATTGTCAAATTATATGAATACTGAAGAAAAAAAGAATAAAATAGAGAAATATAATTATCAAAAAAAAATAGTCAGAGAATAATGAAAAAAAAGAAGTGTGTTTTTCCCTTCTCTTTTCTTATCCAAAGAAGTTTAAATCGAATGCCAAAAAATGGTTTTTGATTTCATTATCATTTGCATTCATCACAATTGAAATGTTACTGCAAAACGTTTTAACTCATTTATCATTCATAGACATTCACTTTGAAGTAAGATGATAATTGAAGGTTCACACGATTTTGTTGAAACACGAATAGATCATACTAAATATTAGTTTTAAGAAATATTTGAGATTTCAGGAAAGAATCAATGTTTTTTTAACACAAGTAATCGTTATACCGATGATATTGTCAATTCTGGAAGTAAATAGAAATTAATTTCGGATTTTTATTTGATATGCTATTCGATGAGGCTGTAATCACTTGATAATCTTTACTTGAATCTTCCCATTGTACATCCAGATGACGAGTCCCAAATAGGAAGAAACGTACGTACTGGATTCCATCGCTAGCCACAATCCGTCCTTGCTTAATTGTGAATATATATATTCTTAGAGACAAGTTTCAATTTTTCATGTGATATAGAAATAGTTTTAATGATGATTTCTATTAAATTTATAAAATTAATTACAGCTAGTCGTTTATCATCGATTGGAATTACTGGAAATTGGGAAGTTGTACAAACATAATTCGATTATTATCAATATGGGGATTTGTGGAGATTGTAGTCTTTTCACAGTTGAATTCGGTGACCAGCTTCAAGATGGAACTCCTAGAGTTCTAATATGAAGTCATGACTAGGGAAGTCCAATCCGTGTGGGGTGTGAGACAGTTATGTACCTCATACAATGGATAAAGGATTGCGCAAGATCATTGATCAATTGAAGTTGGACATGAACACCGTTGGATGCCGGCTCAGTGGTCTAAACGTTAGGTGTTCGATCGCAATACCGAAGGTATTCATCTCATTAGACAAAGCTTTAAAGTTGTATATCTGGGGGGAAAAGTGTTCGTGAAAATATATCTGTTAAATAGTGAATTAAATTACAACATGAAATTTGTATAATCATTGTTATGACCTTGGATGTCTGACTTTTCGATCACACGACTTATCTACCAATCCGAATACGACTTATACGATTCTTCACACTAGGCCAACCAATGACGTTCAACCGGTGTGGGCAGTTTAGCGTCCTTATTGGTCCTATGTCCTACGAGCCCTTCCACTTGAGTCCAGAACAAGATACCAGCTTCCGAATCAGAGCAGATCGTTTATTTCAGGCATACTTGGTTTATATATCAATCACACAGACCGCAACGTACCATAAAATAGGAAATAATATTTGTACACAAATAAGCCCAAAAAGTGGCTGTGAATGTGGGAGGCAATAGTTAATAAACTGAACATAACTTAAGAACCGTAAATCGTATAATAATAAATTATAGGTCAAAATAAAGCTTATCATAAAAGGAATATAAATATACATAGTGTAATTGTTGAATAGTTATACAATAAGAATATTTATAGAATATTAGTCCATGAATAGTCCTTGGAATTTACCTGTAGTTTAATCTTCACCGGATATAACAATCATAATACATAATAAACGTTTCAATAACACAATTGAATATATCATGAGAGAAAATTTATTAAGTTGAAAATATATTACTAATGATTGACAAACAATAAGCTTGTTGTGTTTCTAATCGTGATATTCTAACATTGTTTTCTTTAACAGGAAATGTTGAATAATTTTAAGTTGTCTGATTATGTATTTTAATTTATATGAAAATCATTCATGTGTAAATACAGTGAATGTAACTGACTATATTATCTAAAACAATTGATTGTTCATTAATCACCTCAGTCGTGGAATTGGAAGAAAACTAAATCGACGTTCCGCTACCCAAACTGAATTTGTTATTCAGCATGTTGATCTAAATCAAAACTACAATCATCGGAGCAAATAGATTATTTATAACAAACTATTCATAAGCTCTTTCAGTTGGTATCCTAAGTGTGAAGCGAGGCAACAAGCTGAAGTCAGTAACTCAACAACAGGGTTTTTTTAGTGGGTTGATTTTCTCATTTATGGGGTTTTTGAAACTACCTTTTAATCATCTCTCAAATTTGGCAAACAGGTTACAAGAAAGCTACTTATACTTTACTCCGGTATTGTGAACAAAAAACATAAATATAAAGCATTGTAATGAAAATACAGACAGCCAAGACAATAATGTTATTCCTAAAGATTCCTTATAAATGTAACACAAAACCAGAAGCGTCTTATGACTATTCGAAACAGTGAATGTTTATCTTCCGTGCTCCACACAAACACAAAACACTTCATGAAATAAACATACGTTACCTAGCTTCATTGCCTCTGTATGGGTATTCATTTGTTGAAATATTCTTCTAGGATTAACTTATGAAAATACTACTAGGTACGTTCATCTGTGCACTTCTCAATATCAATTTCCAAAGTTTGGAAAAAACAGCCGAACAATACAATGTTCGACACTTCCACACTTATTTGATACTGAAATTTCGGAGGATGATTCTTTAGGATAATCGCTGGCCTGACCTTCTTTAATCAATATCTGTGTAAATGACATCTCAAACGAAATTTTGATATATTCTTCTCGAGTTCGAGTAAGCTAGTCTGCCTGAATAATTACTTAACAAGTCCAATAAAAGACCTAGGCTAACACGAGTAAACTCTCACCAATATCTTAAAATTATTAAATTAGAACTGATATTAGAGAATGTGCCTATACATCTTGTAATTACTTACTTACGCCTGCTACTCCTCGTGGAGGAGCATAGGCTGCCAAACTGCACTCTCCATCCAACCCAGTCCTGGGCAATCCTTTCCAGCTCCTTCCAGTTGTCAGACATCCTTTTCATATCTGCTCCTATTTCATGACGTAATGTGTTCTGTGGCCTTCCTCTTTTCCGCTACCAATCGGGATTCCAGGTTAGGGCTTGTCTCGTGATGCAGTTTGACGATTTGAGTAATGTATGTCCTATCCATTTGCATCGTCTTTTACTAAGTTCCTCTTCAGCTGGATGCTGGATTGTTCTCTCCCACAGTAAGTTGTTTCTGATGGTATCCGGCCAATGGATGTTGAGTATGTTGCGTGGACAACTATTTATAAATACTTGTACCTTCTTGATGGTGGTTGTTGTATTTCTCCAAGTTTCAGCTCCATACAGTAGAACTATCTTGACATTCGTATTGAAGATTCTCACTTTGATATTGGTTGAAAGTTGTTTTGAGTTCCATATGTTTTTCAATTGAAGGAATGCGGCCGTTGCTTTGCCAATCCTCGCCTTTGTGTCTGCATCTGAACCTCCTTGTTCATCGACGATGATTCCCATGTATGTGAAGGATTTTACATCTTCCAGAGTTTTGCCAACAAGAGTGATTGGATTGCTGTTCTCCGCTTTGAATTTGAGGACATTGGTTTTCTCCTTGTGTATGTTGATGTCTACTGATGCAGAGACTGCTGCTACACTGGCTGTTTTTATCTGTATTTGTTCATGTGTATGCGATAGGATGGCTAGGTCGTCTGCAAAGTCCAAATCGTCAAACTGATTCTGAGCTGTCCATTGCATGCCGTGTTTTCCCTCAGATTTCGAGGTCTTCATAATCTAGTCAACCACAAAAGGCAAGTGGAAAGGAGAGAGTAGACAGCCTTGTCTGACTCCGCTCCTTACTTGGAATGCATCTGTCAGCTGTCCTCCACGCACCATCTTGCACTGTAGTTGACAGTCTTCTTAGGAACTCCGTGGTGTCAAAGAAGTTTCCATAACTTCGTCCTATCTACACTGTCAAACGCCTTTTCATAACCAATAAAGTTGACGTACAGTGACGAGTTCCACACAATTGATTGTTTGACGATGATCCGTAGTATTGCAATTTGATCTGTGCACGACCGATCCCTACGGAATCCAGCTTGTTGATCTCGAAGTTGGGCATCTACTGCATCTTTCGTCCGGTTCAGCAACATTCTGGTAAAGACTTTGCCTGGTATTGAGAGTAGTGTAATGCCTCTGTAGTTTTTATATTTGCTCAGAGCTTCTTTCTTTAGAATCTTGATGAGGTATCCTTCTTTCCAGTCCATTGGCACTTGTTCCTCCTCCCAAATATTTTTGAATAGAAGGTAAAGCATGTTTGTAGTTACTTCGATGTCTGACTTCAGTGCTTCAGCTGGTATGTTGTCAAGTCCTGATGCTTTCGCTCTTGATTTTTCTGATGGCCATTCTGATTTCTTCCTTCGTTGATGGACTGACATCTATAGGGAGATCTGTGTGTGCTGCTTCGATGTTCGGTGGATTCATTGGAGCCGGCCTATTCAGGAGTTCCTCGAAGTATTCTACCCATGTGTTCCGCTTTTGTTGAATTTCAGTGATTGACTTGCGTTCTTTGTCTTTGGCCGGTCTCTCTGGTTTACTATATTTCCCTGATATTTTCTTCGTTGTATCGTAGAGCTGTTTCATATTTCCTTCTCTAGCAGCTTTTTCTGCCGTCGTTGCTAATTCTTCCACGCATTTCTTCCTGTCGGCTCTAATGCTCCTCTTCACTTGCTTGTTTGCTTCTATGTATTCAGCTTGTGCTTGGACTTTCTCTGCTCGTGTTCGGCTGTTGTTAATTGCTGTCTTCTTGTTCTTCCTTTCTTTGATCTTGTCCAGTGTTTCTATAGAGATCCATTCCTTATGATGGTGTTTCTTTAGGCCCAGAACCTCTTGACACGTTGAAGTCAATGTTTCTTTGATGCCTTTCCAGTTGTCCTCCATGGTAGTTTCTTCTTCCTTCAGTAGATCTTGAAAGGCTTGGAACCTGTTGTTGAGAGCTATCTTGAATTCATTGAGTTTGTCAGTATCTCGAAGGAAGGCTGTATTGAACCTTTGTAATGCTGTTTGTCCACTTGTCCAGTTCATTTTTAGCTTCAGCTTTAAATTGGCCACAACTAGGTGGTGATCTGAAGCTATGTCAGCTCCTCTTCTGGTTCTTACATCTTTCACTGTCCTTCGGAATTTTT